ATATTAATGATTTAAAAATAATTAAACCATCAAAGGGACCATTGCTTTTAGGAAGCAAGTAAAACAATTGTGGTCTGGGTAAAGTACATAATAAGAAATGAAGACTCCATATTAATGGCTAAAATAAGATTGCTTGCGAAATAGAAAATAGAATAAATCTTCTGGGTAAAGTTTAATTCTTTAAAAAAACATTAATCTTTTCAATAACATAAATTCATAACAATATTTTTTTACATATTAAACTCTAATTAAAAAAAGTTAATATTTGATCAAATTTAGGATTTTTATTATTTTATTTGATAATTATATTGTTCATTTTTTTATGAATTCTATATTAGACTTCAGTAATTAAATAAAATGAATTATATATGTGAACATATTGAACTTTAAGATTAATATGAACAGAAAAAATTATACCGAAATGAAACCAAACACTAAACTTAATTCATAATAAAAATTAGGTTTAAGGGTCATTTTTTCATGTAATAAATCTGATTTATCATTTTAAGATCAATTTAACCTTCAAAATTGTTTAACTGCATCATTTGATGCCCTAAACCCTAATCTCTAATTCTTAAAATCTAAATACTAAGCCCCAACTCCTAACTTAAAAACATAGATAATAGTAAATATTTTAAACATTAATACAATTGAATAATTTCAAAGACTAATACAAAAAAAATTATATAGACGAAAATGATAAATTACTACGTAAGTGAAAGTATACCTTAAACCTAAAAATTAATTATATAACAATCGAATTTTCAAAAGATTATTATATATTGTCAATAACTTTAATTTTAATGCACATCAAACTTGGGATGGGCACGGGTCGGGTTTGGGTCGGGTTTCGGCCCACCCAACTCGACCCAAAAATTTACACCCTTTACTCGATTCAACCCAAAAAATATACACCCTCCACTTGACCTGATTTTTTGAGATAAAATCTAAACCCGACCCAAAATAATAAAAAATATTATTATCAATAAAAATAGGGATTTAATTGAAAAAATAATATATAGAGGGTTATTATTATAATTATCTCTAAATATATAATAAAAATTATATTTTTTCCAAGTCAGGTCATGTACTTTCACCCTAAACCCAAACCCGATTTGACCCGAACATTACCTTTAAAAAACTTGACCCAACCCGATCCAAACCCGAACCCAAATTTTTTTAAAAAAAATTATAACCCAATTGGATCAGATCGAGTCAGAACTCGTCAGATTCAAGTCTCATGTCTATCCTTACATAAAAATATTTCTTTATTATACATTACCAATAACTTTTTAAAAATTATCAATATAATATATATAAGTATATTTAAAGTTAACTTATAGAGCTAATTCAAACAATTGTAAAATAAGTGCTCCCACTTTTTGCTCTACTGAAGTTACAAATTCTTTTGGGCAGTTTTCAAAATTTTTTTCATGCCAACGGTGGTGGTTTAAGTCCTGTCATTTTAGTTTTATTTTATTGTATTTATAATAATACTCTTGGTCATTTTTTAGTAAAAGACATTATGACTATCGGTATTTTTAGACTCTCGGTCAGGTTTTTTATCAATCTTCTTCTCGATTTTTTATCTTCCTTGAATATATGGTTGTTGTTTTCCCGATGCATGGTTCCTCTGTTTGTTTGTAGAAGATGGTTCGTTGGTTATTGCATATATATGTCGGATAAGATTACTGTTAAGGGGAGATCATTTTTTTTTATGTTGGCCATTTTGGTTTTTCTTTAAATTTCTCTCCTCCATGTTTGATGCTCGTAGTTGTTGGTGTGTTCAGTTTATGTGCATCGTTGCTTCACTTGTTAATTGTTTTGTTTATAATATATCTCTAAGCGATCATTGTTATATTTTATTTTCGATAGTCATGATTGTATTTGTTCAGTCTGTAATTGGTAAGACGTTTGTTGATATAACTTTCGATAAATGAAATATTTTAGTTATTTTTTTTTTAAAAGTTAACTTATAGATCACTTGTATTAATAACATTAATGCAATAATTTATAATTTTATTTACTACAATTTTTTGATAAAAAGACATTTTTGATGGCAAAAACTATGACAGCAAAAATTATTTAGATTTGTCAGCTTTCTCCCTCACTTTTGAAATTGTGCTTTATCTGTTAATTCAATATTAATTAGATTCAAAATTTTTTTTATAACAATCGATATTCAATCTATTATTTAATTAATTCGATTAGATATTATAGAGGTAAAAGTTACCCTTCAAACCAGTTTACTCCTGGATCATGATCTACGTGATTTATTTTTTATTTGAAAAAATAGTTTAAAACTTTTGAAATTATGGTTTTGATCCTTATATTATATATAAAATTAAGATTTAATATCTATATTTCAAGTTAGTATAATTTGATATTTTCTTTTAATAATGTCATTGTTTAGAGTTAGTTTGACATTGTTTATAACATCGATTTTAAAAACTGATGCAAAAAAACGTTTTTGAGTTTTTGGGAAATTTTTGTATTACAAAATGTTTTTAAAAAATATATATCTATTTTATATATTATATTATATTATAAAAGCAAAAATAAATTAACGATAAATATAGACAAATAAATAATTTGACTAACAATATTTTTAAAGAAAAATATAAAAAAAATTGAATTTTTAAAATTGATTTTAAAACTCAGGGCCGGTTTGATGTAGCTTTTTAAAAGAAATTTTTGAAAGGGTTGTACAAGCGATTTTTTAAAATTGAATCACAAAAGTGCAGTTTAAAATTTATTATTTCGGATTACTGTTAAAAATGAGTTAGAAAAGGTCAAATATCTATTATAAAAATTATATTGCAAATTAAAAATATATAATTTTTTTATTAAGTTAAAGTGATTACAAATAGTATATGTTTTAAATATTTACAAAACATTTGACGTTGAACGCTCAATCACCTATATTGCAGTTGTTGATGCTAAAACTTGAGACCTCTAGATATAACAATAATTCCTTTAATCAATGAGTAAGTTTGGTTCGTACAAAAAAATATCATTTAAATTATATTTACACTTATATATGAATCATACTCCTATCAATTTAAACTATAATAAATTTAAAAATTATTATTATATATGAATTATCAATTTAAACTATAACAAAAATATTAAAAAATAATTATAATAATATATTTTATATAATTCACTGTCAATATATAAATAATAAATTTTATTTATTTTTAAATAATTAAAATATATTATTATTAAAAGAAAAAAAATTAATTTTTAAGTATATTGGTATTAAATTATTAAAATAAAATGTAAATACATAATTTAGTGGAATCCATGTATTTGTAAGAGTAAAACTATAATTTGTTTTCTAATGCAAAGTTAAAAATGAAAAAACTAGAAATCCTAGTTCTTGCGGGTTGGTTCGAAACTACTGTTTTCACTTTCATTTTTCTTTTTCCATCTTTTACCCGTTTGACATTAATTTTACGTCAAAACGAAATTTTTAGATCAAAGTGCTTAACTTTACCAAATGCACCTTCAAATGAAAAACATTTTTAACTTGAAAAAAATATTTGTTTGATATTATTTATGACTTAATTTAACTAAAAATTACTTTTAAAATAGGGCAAAGGATGCAAATGGTTCCCTTGCTATAGTGTATTACTTTATAGGCCTGTAAATGAACTGAACGTTCAGTGAACCGTTCATGAACCTTGTGGCAGGAAGTTCGTTTATTTATTAAATGAACGAACATGAACAATATTTTACGTTTGTTTAATTAAATGAACGAACACGAACAAATGGCTTGTTCGTTCATTTACATTCGTGAACGTTCGATTATATGTTCGTTTATAATCGTTCATTTATGTTCGAACAGAGGACAAGTTGAATATGTTACGAAGATTATTGAAGTTGTTTGGATTTCAAGAAGATTGTTTTGTTGAACAAATTAACTTTAAGACTTTATTATATTCATATAACTTATTTATGATTTATGTATGTTTTTGTCGTATTCGAACAAATTAACTCTAAAATTGCAGGTTATATTAAAGAATTTTAAGTTGTTATTCTTATTGTTTACTTTTTTTACGTTCATTTATTGTGTTCGAGTAAGTTTTTTTTGTGTTTGTGTTGTTCGTTTATGTTCGTTCGTTTGTGCTCGTTTACGTTTGTTTATGTTCGTTTATCATTTAAATGAACGAACATGAACAAGCTATATTCCTTAATGAACGAACATGAACAAAAAAAAATTTGTTCGTTTATGTCGTGTTCGTTTATGTTCTTTTATTTATTAAATGGACGAACATGAACATACCTCCGTTCGTGTGCGTTCGGTTCGTTTACAGGCCTATTGCTTTATTAAGTCACTTGACTATTAAAAGTTATGAAATGATCCTTCGACTATGGAGTGTTGTTTTGTTGAGTCTCTCAACTATTAAAGGTTACAAAATAGTCACCCAACTATTCATTATGTTCCAAACTCATACTTTTCAGTTAAAAATGAAAGATATTTTGTGTTGAACATTAACTTGTTGACTTTGATATGATAAAATTTGATATCAAAATTTCAAATGATTATCATATCTCATTATGTTAACATTCAACTTAAACAACCGCCAATTTTTTAACAAAAAACGATGGGTTTGAAACATAATGAATAGTCAAATGACCATTTTATAACTTTTAATAGTTGAATGACTCCACAAAGCAACACTCTATAGTTAAAGACTATTTTGTAACTTTTAATAATTGATAAACTTATTAAAACAATACCCTATATTCGAGAGCATTTGTGTACTTTACCCTTAAAAATAATATTAAATACATCTTCTGGCTTAATAGTTAATTAAAAATGCTGACAATTGTTTTAAAAACTACCCAATTCAACTCGACAAAAGTTAATATTAACAAGTATAGGTGCTAAATATCAAATTTATGTATAATATAGGGACACAGACAGAATTTCAACAACTTTATTTTGACAATAATTTCCCACAAACTTAAGAATATAAATAGTAAGTAAAACAAAAAAACAAAACTCTCCCTCTTTAAAAAGCTTTCGAAACAAGAAGTAACAGAACATCAAGAAAAAGGAAAGGACTGTAATTTCTTCTGCATTTCTTTCCTTATTCTTCTCAATCTTCATAATTAATAAGAAATTTGCTTCGCCCGATTGTAAATTTTCCGATTCGTGATTGTTGAACTGTACAGATAGGTTTTTATATTTTTCTTGTGTATATTATGATGCTGGAGACGCCGGAGAGTGGGAGAGCGGTGGCTTTGGAATTTCCGGGGAGCGAGACGCCTTCGCGTGTTCCGAGGAGGATTCGGAAGAGGCTTCTTGCCGAGTGTAAGCCTCCTCCTACTGTAGAAGAAATCGAAGCCAAGCTTCGAGATGCCGATCTTCGTAGACAGGTAACTTGAGTTTTATTTCCGTTTTTTTTTTCAAAAAGTAATTTTTAGGTTCTAATTGATTTTTTTGTAGTATTATTTTTTCATGTTGGTGAACAATTAAAGAGGAAACAATAGAAAGGAGAGATTTTTGAATAAATTTGATTTTAAATAATCATTTTATGAGATACTTAGACGATTAAGGTGATGCTAAATTGGACTAACTGATTTGTTCGGTCGAGATAAGTACTGAGTTTTCTTTTTCTTTATTATATATTTTAGAAAACTCAATGTTCGAAGAGTTTAAGAAGTATCCAGGAAATATCTTTTATCGATTTTTTATGATGAATTTTAAATTATTACTTACCTCTCGAAAAGAGATATACTCTATGACTCTACCTAGTTAAGTGTTGTGTTTAGATTGAGTCATGATTTTTTAAAATAATGAACAAATTACGTAATTTTAGTTTTGCTACATTTCCCCTCTATTTTTCTTTGTTGCTGCTGTTGCCTGTTATTGCTGGTCTCAGTTATCTGGAAAATAGAGTTTATGAATCTATTTTTAATGTTATGGGTCATATTTAAATGAAATCTAAAAGATTTTAGAACGTTAAACTCTTCGTTCATAAAATCTTTGTTCAGAAGTTTGTTACTTTGTGTTAGGTAGACGGGTGGGGTGGGAGTTGTTCTTGCTTGATTTATTTTTTCAGTTTTTGGTACTGCATTGTCGCCTGCAAACTTATCTTTTCTCTTGCAAAGCTTATATATTTCATTTTTGTTTTTGAATAAGTTGTTTAATCACATATTCATTTACTTGCTTTACTAGCTAGCTAAATGCAGTTGACGATCCATTATTGATTATTCTAGACATATTGTAAATGTTCAATTGACATGCACTCCTCTTCACTTTTCCCCCCTTTTGTTGTGGTTGTTCTTTGATTGTAGCAATTCTATGAAAGCCTGTCAAGGAAGGCAAGATCAAAACCAAGAAGCCCCTCTAGATCCTCATCAAACGAGGAAGACCTTGGTCAGCGCCTTGAAGCGAGACTTAAAGCTGCCGAGCAGAAAAGGTGAAGTCAAATCTAGTGTGATGCTTCCTTGATGATTATAAGTTTTTGCGTTCTCATTATTTGCACTTTAGATAGCATTTTTCAGTTATGTATTTTTTTATAGGAATTAGGCGTCATTAAAAAACCCCTTCTTAATTATTGTGTTTTGTAGTACACAATAATCATTGGAAAGGGGAAAAGAGTGCCCAGAATTTTATTGCCAAACATAAGAAATACAACCAAAACCAAACAAACAATACAACAACCACACCAACCCCATTCTCACCAAACCACAACCTCATCTCTCACTAACCTATTCCTGATTTAGCTAAACAGTCAGCTTCCCCATTAATACATCTGTTGATATGCCTAGTAATAACATTAAAATGCAGCACAATCTTTTGAATTTCTCTGACCAAATCAACATAGTGAACCGGGCAAAGTTCTGTTGTTGATCCACTTCAAAGCAAGATAGGAATCACTTTCTAAAATCAGAATCCCCATATCCCTCCAAACTGAATCAAAAAACAATTCTAACCTGCTTTGATCGCAAAAATCTCAGCAAGAATCGGAGGACAAGGTCCTGTCGCTCTAGAGAAGAAAACCAACTTCTTATTATCAACATCCCTTAGGACTCCTCCAATACCACTGCTTCTCCAGTCATAAGTAACAGCCCCATCAACATTCATCTTAAAATAACTCGAAGGAGGCAAACGAAACTTAGAGGGGGAACGATGCACATCCGCCAAGGTTAAGTCACCCACAAGGATGTCAACCTGAATAGATAAGTCCTTGTTTTTAGCCAAGAACCATGAAGCCACCCTATACCTCACCAAAAGGAATAGATTAGCTTTATCCATCTTGCCATTCTCAAACACTATCTGATTCCTGCAAATCCAGACAGTCCACAAAAGGACTCCCGGTAGAAATTGCCAAATAACCGAGTTAGGTCTTAGTTCCAACCATGAAAGCAAGAACCCTTTAGGATTATTGGGTAGTATTGAAAAAACATTCCACAAACGAAGGTATTTTACCCAAATCTCCCAAACTTGCTCGTAAGAAAAGAATAAGTGACTCACCGATTCAGGTTCCACTCCACAAAACACGCAATTTGGGTTCTCGATACCTTTGACACCTCAATAAAACAGATTTGACAGCCAACTTCTGATGAATAATTTGCCAAAGAAATACCTCCACTTTAGGTGGAACTAACCCCTTCCACACAATCTTCGACCAGGAAGCATCTGACTCGGATAAGCTTGAAATTATTCTAGAACATGAATGAACCGAAAACACCCCATCACCATTTCCTTTCCAAGCATAGTTGTAAAAAGCGCGCTGGAGGCGCAAAAGCGCAGAGGCTCACTGAACGGGGCTTTTTCAACACTGAAGCGAGGCACGTAGCCTAGGCGCAGCGAGGCTCTGAGGCGCAGTCGAGGCGCAATTGAGGCGCGATGTGGGCTTAAAACCTTGTAATTATTACTGCAGGGCCTTCTCTCCTATGGGCCGACCCCCTAAAACCCTCAATTGACTGTCAATCGGCCTTTAATCCACACATACTAACCTATCGATCGGCCGCTTCCTCCTTTTCTTCGACTGGCGATTGCAACGTTGAACAAGACAGCAACAACACTTCGATTAATCGATTCACACATTCAATTCTTCCCATAAATGATTCTGCTCTTTGATTGATCCTTCGATTTATACGGATGAGGAGGAAGATGATGACATACCACTTGACGATGATGATGAGGATGAGTTTGATGTTTGATGATGATTATCAGTGATTTATTTGATGTTTCGTTTATGCATGTTGGATGTTTTTGTTAAACTTAGTACTTGATTATACTTGTTGATAACTTTTATGACGTTAGATTGGTATTTTGAGTTTGAGAATGAACTCTATTGAAGCTTAATATTGGGTATCTATGATATTTGAGTTTGATTGCATTAATATATACATGTATTATAATTTTTTGGATATCATGCGCCTTGCCTTCGTGAATCCCGCGCCTTTCATGCGCCTCCCGCCTCAAGGCTCCAGGACACTTTGCGCCTTGATGTGCCTTTAGCCTTTGATAACTTTGTTTCCAAGCATAACAATCTTCACCCTTCATCAAAGGACAAAACTTTTCCAACAAAACCATCATTTCCATCCATTATTCAAATTCACTGTCCATTAAATCCCTCCTAAGCTGAAAATCCCACACCCACTCCCCATTACTAATACACCCAAAATCAGCCACAACCCCATCCTTATTAACCGACAAAGCAAATATCCTTGAAAATTGAGTCTTCAAGGGAGAGTTTCTAATCCATGTGTCATGCCAAAACCTAATTGAATCTCCTTTTCCCACCTGTAACACTAGGTGATTTCGAAAACATAACCCAAACGTGTCATTCAACCGATAGTTATTTAATACACTTTCCAAATCCAAGACGCACTGGGAGGCAAATTAACATGCAAAACAATAGATCTCCTATCAACATTATACCTGGAACAGATCATTTTCTTCCACCAAGAATCCTTCTCACTACCAAACTTCCAAACCCATTTGCCCAAGAGAGCCCTATTCCGTAGCTTTAGATCCGAAATACCCAGTCCCCCAAATTCTTTATTTTTACAAACAATAGTCCAATTAACCCAGTGGATCCGTTTCTTCTCTGCCGATGATCCCCAAAAGAAATTGACCATTAAAGATTCCAGTTTTTTCTGAACAACCACTGGCATTTTGAAAAGCGACATATAGTAATTAGGTAGTGCATTCAAGATTGATTTTATTAAAACTGCCCTTCCTACGATAGATAAAGAACCTGATTTCCAGCCTACAAGTTTCTGATAAAACTTATTCACAATCGGTTCCCAGAGATGAATAGAATTTCTCCTTGCTCCCAAAGGTAACCCCAGATACTCCGTCGGAAAAGAGCCTCGTAAACAACCTATAGAGCTTGCCCATTCCCCGACAATTTGATCTTGTAAATTAATACCAAAAATCCTGCTCTTTAACAGATTCAGCTGCAGCCCTGTACACAACTCAAATACAATCAAAACCCTCTTAAGATTTTCCAATTGACCTTTATAGGCTTTGCAAAAAATTATCAAGTCATCAGCAAATTGTAAATGAGAAAGCGTTACTGATGAATTATCGCAGCCTATCTGAAAACCGTCGAACAACCCCAACACTATTGCTTTAGAAAGCAAAAGATTCAGAAATTCACCCACAATATTAAACAGAAGCGGGGATAAAGAACATCCTTGTCTAAGCCCCCTAGAAACTTTAAAGCTTTTTGTAGGAGAACCATTGACAAGACCTGAAATTGAAGTTGAATTCAAACATTTTAATATCCAAGACCTCCATCTTTGACCGAACCCCATACACTCCATAATTTTGATTAAGATATCCCAATCTACAGTATCGTAAGCTCTCTTAAAGTCACTTTGAACACAATACCTTCCCTTCCTTTCCTCCTCCAATAATCAATGCCTTCATTAGCTATTAAAGAACAATTACAAATCTGTCTCCCCGGGATGAAAGCAAATTGAGAATGACCAATCAACCCACCTATGCACATCCTTAACCTTCTTGACAAAACTTTAGACAAAATTTTGTATAATCCCCCTACCAAACTTATTGGTCTATAGTCTTCAATGCCAACCAGATTCGACTTCTTTGGAATTAGAGTAATAAAAAATGGTTCACACCCTTTCCAAACTTCTTCCCATCATAGAAATCTTTGAAAAACTTCTGAATATCTCCTTTCAAAACCGGCCAAAATTTCTTGAAAAAGCCCGTATTCAATCCATCCGGACCCGGAGCTTTGTTACTATCCGATGACTCTATTGCCTCCCAAATTTCCTCCGCAGAGAAATTCCTTTCTAAAAGTGCGACTTGATCCTCCGAGAGCCTATTAAAATTCAGGTTTTCAGTTATGTATTCAAAGCCCGATGTGATCATTTTTTTGTTTCCCAAGGTTTTTTCGTGTTATTTGTTTGTACTGCTGTTATGTTATATATGAATTTTAACAGCGTGGGAATTATCTTAGAACATCTTTTCAAGGGATATAACAAATTCTTATTCTGCTTTGGCTTTGATTTTTTTTATTTTTTTTAACAATTTGAAAGCTCACTAGCTGGTAAATCAATAGGTTGAGCATTTTGGCAAAGGCTCAGATGCGCCTGGCAAAGTTAGATGAACTACGGAAAGCAGCAAAAACTGGGGTAGAAATGCGTTTTGAGAAGGAACGTGAGAAGCTTGGCACAAAAGTTCAGTCACGGGTTCAGCAGGCAGAGGCTAATAGAATGCTTATCTTTAAAGCCTACAGCCAGAGGAGGGCAACTCTAAAAGAGAGACTGTCACAATCATTATTACGGAGGACGACTGGAGAAAGTAAATACAAGGAGCGTGTCCGTGCTGCTCTTCATCAAAAGCGTGCAGCTGCTGAGAAAAAGCGTCTGGGACTGCTTGAAGCAGAGAAGAAGAAAGCACGTGCTAGATTTTTGCAAGTTTGGAGAGTGGCTAGGTCTATCTCTTATCAGCGTGAGGTTGAAAGGAGGAGAATGATAGACCAGTTAGAGAACAGACTGCAAAGGGTATGCATTTTCTATTAATTGTATGATTCTCCATCTTCAAGTGCAAATGTGTGTTTTCCCCTTTTATATTTTATTGAATATATTATTTGTCTCTTATTAATTATTGATAAATAGGCGAAGAGGCAAAGAGCAGAGTACTTGAGGCAGAGAGGAAGACCACATAAATCTGTTCAAATGAACTGTACCGTGAAGCAAGCTGATCTGCTTTCTAGAAAATTAGCAAGGTATATTACCAACACTTCCTAGTTGAGCATTTGATTTATTTGTTTCATGGACTACACATGCTTGGTATGGTTTAGTATCTGTTGTTGGGATCTTCAAAGTGTCTTTCAAAGATAATATTTTGTTATGGTAGATAACATTTTATTAGGGATGATTGCAAACTCATGTTTGTCAAAAGATTTCATGTATAAAGTTTGGGTCAATACATAAATGGCTAAAGCTATTAATGTCCTGGTATCTAATTCTTTTGTATTGTTCAGGTGCTGGAGGTGGTTTGTTAGGCAGAGAAAAACTACTTTAGACTTGGCAAAAGCCTTTGATTCATTGAAAATCAATCAGAATTCTGTTAAATCAATGCCATTTGAACAACTTGCTCTTCTGATTGAATCAGTTAGTACCCTTCAAACTGTGAAAGCTTTTCTCGACCGAATTGAGAGTCGCATTAAGGCCTCTAGGGAAGTTGGCGTCACTGATCATCTATCCAGTTTGGATAACATTGACCATCTTCTTAAAAGAGTTGCTACTCCGAAGAAGACACACCCAGGACCTCTGTGAGAGGCAGAGAGGCTAAGAGAGTGGTCTCTGGGAGGCAGGCTGCCAAAACTCTTACTAAATCATCAAGGTATCCTGTCAGACTATTTCTTTGTGCACACATGATTTTGGGCCATCCTGAGGCTGTTTTAAGTGGTCAGGGAGAGCGAGAGATTGCTTTGGCGAAGTTTGCAGAAGCCTTTGTTCGAGAGTTTGAGTTGTTGGTAAAGATTGTTTTAGATGGTCCCATACAGAGTTTTGATGAAACCGAGACAGCGTTATGTAAACGTTTGACGTTCAGGTCACAGCTCGCCGCATTTGATAAAGCATGGTGCTCTTACCTGAGTTGTTTTGTGGCATGGAAGGTCAAGGATGCTCAATCATTGGAAGAGGACTTGGTAAGAGCAGCTTGCCAGCTCGAGCTCTCTATGATTCAAAAGTGCAAGTTGACTCCAGGAGGAGATAACACGGCTCTTACTCATGATATGAAGGCTATTCAAAGACAGGTCTCACTATCTCACTGTTGGTCTTTTCTTGATATCTTGAAAATCCATGCAAATTTGAAAATACGCTCTAATGAGTTTGACTACACTTAATGATTTATCAGACCTTTTAACTATAAATTAATTCCCTTTGGTTCAAAGTTTAAAATATAATAAAAGTAGCTGCCTTCTGTTTACATTTTGTTGCAGAGGATCCTTATTGAATATTTTATAAAGCAGGTTATGGAAGATCAAAAGCTTTTAAGGGATAAAATGCAACATTTGTGTGGAGATGCTGGAATTGAACGAATGGAATATGCATTATCTGAAACACGGACTAAATTTTTTCGAGAAAGAGAAAGTGGGAACCCAATTACGCCCTCTCTATCTCCAAGCACAGATGGTTCTCCTAGTTCTTCTACTGATGGAACATACAATAGAAGTGATCTGGCTCAGATGTCAAACCATGTTGTCCGCTCTCTGTTTAAGGAAGATGAAGTTGGCATATCTCAATCCAGAAATTCCAGTTCCTCTGTGCCTAGCAGCAGCCATTCAGATGCTCAGTTAGGTTCTATTGAAAAGCAGCTGGTCACTGAGAATGAATTGATTGTTAATGAATTTCTTCATGAAAAGTGCGGCTTGGTTGATAGCTTCAGTGTCACCGACGAAGATCAGAACGGCATAAAGGTTTGTGCATGTCTTATTATTATGGTTATATGTGATAGAAGATGGTGACACTCGGAATCATCTTTAGGATTTTTGGCGCTTATGCAAGCTGCATAACTATTATGATGGGTTTGATGTGATTTTATGAATATTCAAGTATAGGAACTTGCCTTAGAATCTGTCATTTTCTTGGCTGCCATGCTCGATACTTATATTGGAAATATGTTTTGCAGGCAAAGATAAGAGAAACAATGGAGAAGGCTTTTTGGGATGGGATCATGGAATCCATGAGACAGGATAAGCCCAATCATGACCGAGTTATTGACCTCATGAAGGAAGTCAGGGATGAAATTTGTGAGATGGCTCCTCAGACTTGGAGAGAAGAAATAATTGATAGTATAGATCTAGAAATTCTCCCCCAGGTACTAGTATCCCTTTATTATTTCCACTTTGGTATTCTCGTCTATTAAGCCCTAATTATTTAACTTTCTCCCCCATTCAAAGGTGCTGAAGTCAGGCAATATGGACATTGTTTATCTTGGAAGGATTCTAGAGTTTGCATTGAGCACTTTGCAGAAGCTCTCCTCTCCAGCCAATGATGATGAAATGAAGGCTTCTAACCAGAGGTTATTGAAAGAGTTAGCTGAGATATGTGAAGCCAAAGACAAGCAGAATCATTCTCCTGCCCTTGCAATGATCAAGGGTCTACGGTTTGTCCTAGAGCAGATTCAGGTATTCTTTCTTTGTATCTTTATTTATTTTCTACTTGATAGAATGATTTTTTCATGTATCACTCTGAAGGCGCTGAGTTGGGAAAGAATTTATTCTTTCTACTAATGTGTAATATGCATTCTCTTGACAGGATCTTAAGCGGGAGATAAGTAAAGCTCGTGTAATGATGATGGAGCCATTGTTAAAGGGACCTGCTGGTTTGGCTTACCTTCGGAGAGCTTTTGCGAACCATTATGGGTCTCCTTCTGATGCTCGGTCATCTTTACCGTTGACAATTCTGTGGCTTTCATCTGTATGGAGTTGCAAAGATCAAGAGTGGGGAGAACACGAAAATTCTATGTCAACTTTGAAGGCCCAGGATAGTTCAGGTCGGGACCTTCTTACTCCCGATACGCTTAAAACTGGTGGAAGCTACAATTCATCGAATGCAAGCCAAATGACATTTTCCAACTCGTCTAAAGTTATAGGTTTGAATATGAAACTGTTCAACAAATCATTTGAAGCTAAGTTTAAGCATGTACAAAAATATGAACTATTCAGAAATTCAGAAGGCTAGTATGCAATCGTTTTTAATCTACTGGTGATCCTTATTTTATTTGGTCAGATCAACTACCAGAATGCAAGGGAGAGCAAGTTGATAAAGTGGTGAGGCTTGGTTTGCTGAAGTTAGTGAGTGGAGTTGCCGGTCTAACTTCGGATGCTCTGCCAGAAACCCTTATGCTTAACCTTTCTAGATTGAGGGGTGTTCAGGCTATAATTCAGAAGATAATTGTTATATCCACAAGGTATTTGGGTGATTGATTTCTTGCTAAAAATGTTATTGTAGCTTTCTAAGAGGGAACAAATGATCTAATATCTGATTTTTGCACATGCAGCATTCTTATTTGTCGCCAAATTTTCTTGAGCGAGCAAGTAGTAGCCCCTACTGAAATGGAAACCAAAATATCAAGTTGCACCGAGCAGCTCTCAGAGCTCTTAGACCGCATCGATGATGTTGGAATCGAAGGGATTGTTGAAACAATCAGCGGGTTCTCAAAAGTAACAGATGACGAGAAGGTTCAAACAAGGAAAGTAATGATGGCCAGGATGCTAGCAAAGAGCTTGCAAGCTGGGGATGCGGTGTTTGAAAAGGTATGGCGTGCTATTTATTTAGCTTTTAGAGGGGTTGTGTTTGGGGGGAGTGGTGTATATGGTAGAAAGTTGGTGGAAATCGCTCTCCGGCAAGTCGGAGCTGGATCAGGTGCAGGTTTACTGTCCGAAAGGGTAGTGAAAGCGGCGGAGGTGCTGGTTGTTGCAGCCACGGTTTCTGTCAGCGTCCATGGGCCATGGTATACAACCTTGATGGGTAACATGTGATTGAATTTGTAGATTTGTGAAAGAAAAAAAAAGTTATTAAATGAAATGACTCTCCCAGGTGTAATCTTGTGTTCTAATAAAAAACATGTTAAAAAATAATTGTTTCTTATATAATTATTTCGATTCAACATCGCGTACATAATCAAGATCATCAAAATCCAGGTCGTGATCGGCAGGGCATTGATCACTATCATTTGTATCGTCCTTTCAACTGTCCTTTTCTTGGATTGGCCGGTGCTTCTGGCAAAGGCATCCTCGTTGTCATCTGCATTTGCATTCGGAGCAGTTACATCTCTTCTCCTCTTTCCCGAATCATTACTGATGTCACTGCCGATTATCTTTTTTGTGGTGTTCGTTGATGGTAGCTTCAACGGTTTCCAATGATCTATCTCCATGATTACTTACCTAAGGCCCTAAAATGAGATTGAAACATCTTTTTGGACTTGTCATATAAATGTTAAATATGAGCTAAAATGAAGAGTTCTTCTGTTAACTGCATATTCAACTTACTTCCCAATGCCATTGATCTCGCGGAGTTCTTCCTTTGTTTTTGCAACTCTTTTGCTTATTTGCTGCAGGGTAGATTATGAAAACTGTTCGCCTGTTGATCTTACTAGTTCAACCTACCAATGCAAGAAGTGATATGAACAAATTGAAAGTATAGGTTGATATTACAAGCATGTATAATGTCAAAAAATACCTCTTAACATTTTATTAAAAAGTCACTTTAGTTCTCGTTTTTTTTAAGCACTTTTACTCGCAACATTTCATTTTGGGAGAAAAATGCTCCTATGTGGATGGAAACTTTTAGTTAGCAATCGTCCAAAATAAATGATTTTTTATCTTAAAATAAAACGTTGAAGACTAGAATGCTCCAAGAAAAATGAATAAGGGATAAATTGACTATTTGATCGAACGTTAAGAGTCTTTTTATCCTAAATGCTCTCAAAAAATAAGGGTCAAACTAATCATTTTGATGAAAGAGGCTAATTTTAGTATTATCCCTACAAACAAAGACAGGAGGAAAATGCAACAGGAAAGCAAAATTCTGTCCAACCAGTTGTTTTGCTATAACTGTGGCATCCGTATCAACAGAACAATATCGCTAATGCAATTGATACAGGATAATAGTTTCAATCTGAGACTTTTAAGAAGAATAATATCGCTAATGCAATTGATACAAAGTAACTGTTCGAATCTTATTTACCGTTTTACTATTGAGATTACTCGATTGAGTTTGAAAATATAATAATTCAAATATATGAAAAAGAAAATAAAAAATAAACGTATTTGACACTTGCAACAATATCTAAATAACACACGGGAAGAGTCGATGTAACATGTAAACCGGAGACGACAGGAACAAGAATAATATATAAATGCTGGTTTTTAACATTTTAATGAGTCCCGTCATAACATTTTATGGAAAGAAATCAACTTCCAAGACTCGCATATCTTCCATTATACTTACTCTAAAAGTACAGACCATTAATAACCCACAACTATGAAGTTGATCCGATTCAGGTAGGCTTCAAAACCCAGTAGTTCCAACTTCCAACATCAGTACCAACACACCCTAAACAATCATACTAAGGACTGCACAAGCTTCTTCTTGCCCAAGACACTACTTTACAGATTGATTATTCAACATCAGGTCTTAGGTAGAAACGACATCAATATAAACACGAGACTGAACGCAGAAATCCAATTGAAAAGCCATATACTGCTAATGTTCAAGAGACATGAACTTCTCCACTAGCATGTACCTCCTTTACTGTCTTCTCATACTCGTCTTCTTCTTCCTCCTCCTGCTCCGTATCTTCTTCCCTTGCATCCCCATCTTCTTCTCCACCCCAGCCAAAGCCTCCAATAGACCGTGATACTGGAGGAGCTGCTTTAGCCTCTTCAACTATTTTCATGATTTCCTCAACACTTTGAAGGGAGAAAGTTGGATTTTCTTTCCTGTAATAGGAAGCTTGAGCTGCCTCCGTCAGTTCCCTGGGCAAGTTCTTCAAAAACCATGGATGGCTCTTGATATCTTTGATGGTGATTCTCTGTAAAAACACAAGCTAAAACAGTGAGACCCAGAGGGAGAAAGCGAGAAAGGAAAGCAAGCTTGTCCAGGATGATGGATGGATGGATGACAGGTAACTATAGGCAACCATTACAAGGATGGCAATATAGAAATGGGGATGACTTGTTTTACATGCACAAGTAGAAGACAGCACATACATGCATTGTGCTTTAGCACATGAAAGAAAGTGGAGAAAACACACGCACAGATACATGTATAGCAAGATTCCTATGATGCCAATAACCACCATAGTAAAAAGAAATTACTGGAGAACAAACATTTTTCTGTATGTTGAACAAGTTCTGTAACAACAATTCATACCCTGGAAGGGCTAGCAACAAATATGCGAGAAAGGAGATGTTTGCAATCTTGAGATATGTGAACGTAGTCCGGTATTTTGTATTGAACCGACATTATTCTCTGCAACAGATAAAAGAACATAAGAAATCAAAAAGACAAAGGATGATTGAGAGTAGTTAAAAATGGATGGTCAGAAGGATGTAGCTTACACTAATAGTTTTCCTAAAATTTTTTGGATCTTCCTGGTCCTCGAATGGGTAAGCACCAACCAACATAACGTAAAGAGTCACTCCACATGACCATACATCTGCCATCTGGAAAAGGAATGCAATCCTAAAATTAATCAGAAACAGAAAATGAAAGGACTATCTATCTCTGCTTTAGAAAGACTTACTAAAACCCAGACCATGGTTTCTCTTTTCCAAATATCACAGATGCTATTGTTTTCATGATCGTTAAAATGAAAACTTCATCATAAAGAGGCACTTCCTGTAATAATGCAGTACTAGTAGATATCCAACCAATTGATAAATATTCTGAGAAAGTAATCTTTAACCAAGTTTATAATCAGCCTCGACAATTCTTAAAATATTACCAAGTAACATCAGTCGATCATTAGGACATTACGTAAAGGCATCAACTACTCCATCAGAAAACTAATTAGCATAGGCACAAAACCATAACTGAAAAAACCTAGTCTGATAAACAAACCACTAACAACAATTTTTGAACGAAAGTAGATAAAAGGCTAAATTACCTTGCCATCATATTCTCTCCGAGAAAGAACTTCTGGTGCAATATAAGCTGGAGTACCAACCGTTGACTTGGGTCTTGAATGCAGCAAAGATGACTGAAAGGGGTGGAAGGAAGCATCTAAAACAACAAAAATCTTGACATGCATTGGGTTATGCTTACTGTAATAATCCTATTTCCAGTATTACCTTCGAGTAACCAAAATCACAAATTTTCAGCCGAGGAGCAGGGCTCCCATCCAACAAGGTATTCTCTAACTTCAAATCTCGATGGCATATTTGCTGAAAGTCAAAACAGGTAAAATATGAGAAGCTTGCCAAAGAAAAAGACAATTGTGACATCTTGTGATAGAATGTTAAATCTTAGTTACCATGGCATGACAATAGCTAACTCCTGAGATCAGCTGCTGGAAAAAATATCTGGCCTGAAAACAAAAGACATTAGACAGTTAGCTTTAGTGGAAAACTCAAAAACACCGAGCATCCCACCTCTTACTTGGACAGTAATGCATGATTATTTGATGATGAGACATTCCATCTCATACCAGTTTCTATATCAATTGAAAGGGTAAAAGGGAACATAACAAATGCAGCCGGCAACAAGTAAAAGAGAATTCAAACTAAAGTGAACATCAGCAATCCCCCACCCTTTTTTTTTCCTTTTTGCATAACATCTATTTAATAGGTAACACTTTCATGATCGACGCTGACCTCATCTTCACTAAACCTTCCAGCGTTGCAAATTCGCTCAAAGAGTTCACCACCAGCTGCATACTCCATCACAATTGCAAGATGTGTAGGGGTCAAAACAACCTGCAAATTAAAAAGGAGAAGAAAAAAAACGTTAAATCAAGAACATTAATGTAAAGGAAACAAAAAGGAAGAGCATAACTTTAGAGTACCTCTTTGAACCGAATTATGTTTGGATGACGAAGGGATCTATGATTTATTATTTCTCTTGCCACATTCTCGTCGATCTATCACAAAATATAAAATGTACCAAATTCGCAATTTTCTTCAAATACAAAAACAATAATAATTAAATAAATAAATAAGAAAACATTAAATTCAACTGCAAAATTCAATCTCTATGAAACTATCGGCAATCATTTCCTTTAAAAAGTAAATACTAATTTTCCCAAATAAAAAAAATTCCTACATACACACCATACATGAATGCGTAACACAAATAAATATGTGCAAATGCATCACATAAATATTAAAAATAAAATAAAAACAAATTAAGGAGAAGGGAACCTTATGGCCACGATCGATATACTTCATGGCGACGAGTTCTTTGGTTTCCTTGTCACGCATCAGCCGGGCTACCCCAAAGTTGCCAGATCCTATGTCTTTCACCAGCTCGTACTTCTCCATCTTCTTTATTCTTTTTTTATATATATAACAAATAAACCAGATTAATCAAAACCCTAACTCAATTATTCAGAAATCGAAGCACGCAACAATTTATACGCAACACATTACAAACCGAAACTGGTAGCGGCGGAGGTGGTGGAAGTGTAGGCGGAGGTGGAGATTTGGAGAGATTTGAAGGAAAAGTAAAGAATATGGAATTTTTGAAGTCTGGAAAGGCAGCAACAAAATCAGGGCTTCACGAAGGGAGGAGAGAGAATAATTTAGAGAGAATGATATCCCACTACTGCTCCCTTTGGTTTGATTCTATGCGAGCACATCATGAGATATCTTCCCTTGAATTCGCTATGATTGAATTTTGATCAACTTTGATCATCGTTTTAGGATGTAAATGAGCCGAGTCGAGTTCGAGTATTGTTGAGCTCGATTCGACTTGAAAACTCTGAAATGGAGCTCGACTGGACTCAAAAACTCCCGAGCTTAAAATTTTCAAACTCGACTCGAACTCGAAATCCTGAACTGAAGCTCGTGAGCAG